ACTTGGTTGAGGATACGTGGCTGGAAAGAGTTGAAGCTGGAATTCCTGAGAACTGCCATTCATTGAGTGTGACCTCTTTCAGTTTTCACAGCCATCATTGGAGAAGTGTAGTGCTTTGCTCGTCTGTTTGTTTGTTTTAAGGATTTTACTTATTTATTTATACATACAAGAAATGGGTATAGGACAGAGTTGCTTGGGATGAGAGGATTAAGCAGAGAAAGAGTAGGGTACCGAACCAGCAGATCTACTGAAATACACTGCTGAGGGGAGCAGTGAGAGAGACAGAAGAGGCCTGCTGCTCCATGTGTGTCACCACCCTGGCCAGGGATTGAACTCATGCCTCAGTGGCTTGCTATAGTTTGATAACTCTGAGACTATAACTGCTGAGCCACCAGGGAGGCCCTTATTATACTTGTTTTATAGAAGAAATGGAGACTCGGGGAGGTAAAATAATTTTCCCAACATCATAATGAATAAACAGATAAGCCAGGAATTGAACATAGGTACATCTGATTCCAAAGCCCAGAAATTTTTTAATTTTTCTATGTTATCATCAGAACCAGCCACAATGCTTACAGCTTAGATGTTAAGCTAGATAAACAGATAAAATCCACTTGAGTGATGAGATTAGTGAGCTAATAGAGGTTACCACAAAGTTCTTCAGAGGAACATATGAAGGGGAAGAATTTGTTCTTTCTGGAGAGGGTGGGAGTTGGAAAATCTTCATAAAATTACCAGAATGTTCGGGGATTTGTAAGTTGGTTCTATAATGATAGTTTAAGGTGGGAAACAGGTTACTTCGTCAAATAGTGGTGGTTAGTTTGGGGGACCATGGCAACAAGTCTAGGTGACCATTGCTTCCCAATTTGCCAGTCTGAAGCCAGGAATATACCTCGACTCTCTGCTGCTACCTGCTAAGTAGTGGTAATATGTTAGAACAATATTTCATGAAAATCCTATTTGTATGTAAGTGGGAGTGTATACTAAATAATCATAGTATTAATCTTACCCAGTTAATTTTAAGTTTAAATGAATCAATACATTTTCAAGTTATGGCTGTACAGAACAGGGTAGAAACAGCTAAGGATGTTTTAGCATCTTTTCCTGTTCTTGTCTCTTAAATGCTGGGGTTTTTCTTTATATTCTCTCCTCCAGGGAATTCATCTCTTTTCTAGGCTTGAATTACTATAAAAATCCTATAAAATTAAGGTTAAAACTATAAGCAAAGTGTGCTTTAACATGAATGATACAATGCCTTCTTTGTCTGCTCTCAGGGCATTTGTGAGAGAAGGCACAGTGGGCTGCCAGATACCATTGTCAGGGCTCTGACATCAGGCAATTAGGAGACTTCTAAACTGCTCCCTTTCCTAGCTGTATGGCCTTAAGCAAGTTCCTTAACCTCCTTCAGCCTATAGTCCTACTCTCTAAAAGAGTGGCAATAATGGCATCCTAGTAATAGGACTATTGTGTGGACCAATGAAATAATGAAAAGCATTTAGTGACTGGTTTGTTATAAGTTAACAATGAGTGCTGTTGTAATGATTATTATTACGCTCATCATTAGCAGGAAGAAAGAATCTAGGTGACAGTGATTTGACATATGAAGTATTAGGCAAATATGAAATACTACTATTATTGTATATACTGTTGAAGTTTTAAATTCCAATGGAGAAAGAGAAGTGAACAGGAAATCAGAGAAGCTGGATTCTAACTTCTACCATTAATCTGCAGTGTGACCTTGGGCCAGTCTCTCAGAACTTTTGCTTTCTCCTGTAAATAAAGGAGTTAAAATAGATTATCTTCATCACTCACCCTGAACTCTGGAATTCTAAGATTCCATGAGTATTAGAATAAGTTAGGTAGTAAATCTGATATGGTTTTTTTTTTAAAGACTTATTTATTTATGCATACAGATGTACCCCAGTACACCTCTGGGGTACAGGCCAGAGGTACAGGGGGTAAGAGGATTCATCAGAGACAGAGTGGGGAACAGAACAGGCAAATCAATGAAGCACACTACTGAGGGGAGCAGCAGGTGGGTCAGGAGAGGTCCACTGCGCCATGTGGGTTACCTCCCCAGCAGGGGATCGAACTGGCACTGAAGCAGCTGTGGCTAGCTTCACAGTGCTGAGCTTTAACCCATTGTACCACCAGAGAGGGCCCACTGATACGGTTCTTGAAATAAAGGAAGTCAATATATACTACATACACCAGTGACCCAAGTTCATCCCTGAATCTGATAAATGTTAACCCCTGCGCAACAATCAGAAACAGCATCCAGGCAGATTTGGAGAAAAGTTAAACTGCTTCTAGATACTTCAGGAATCTTAGAGGACCTCAGTACGGAGAAGATAACATATCTACAATGGCAATACTCAACAAATCAGATAATTGATATGACAATGCCCAGCATGTGTATGCTTAGCAAGGAAGTGTGTGTAAGAACCCTTAACATTATTTTGGATTCATGACTTAGGAATGTGCTGGTAGCTCTCCTGTACGACTTGCGAAGCTTCTGTTTCCTACTTCCTAACCTAGCGTACCTACTACATACTAAATGTGGTTGTCGACTCTGGGCCACCAAACAAACCCAGTTTCTGTTCTCAAGGAGCCCACGAGCTATTGGATAAAGCATTTGTAACTGTGTGGGTTTCATATATGTGTTCAGCATAGTCCTGTGTGGTGAGATATTGTTTGACTCCTTCTCTATGAAAACATAGCTGTTTGTGTATTCAGCGCTGACTTGCTTCTCCACTCTTAGCCCTTCAGCAGCTTCTGGATGTTAAATATTATCTCTTCATGTGAGTTGTACCAGAAGGAAGAGTCATCTGTTCCTCTTTTACTTCCTAATGAGTCCTTAGACTGGTTTGCAGGGCAGCTATTGATTCTTTTTTCTTCCCTGAGGACTGGTCATTTCAATTTCAGGAGCTTGGTTTTATCTCCAAGAGGGCTCACATTTTATTCTTCTTGTCCTCTTCCCCCTCAAACCCCCATCCACCCTTAAGACAAAACAATCTGAAACTATAACAAAAATTAGACAGTATGCTGTGGTGGCAGCACTTTGATGGGTAGGTTAAATATTTCTTTTGCTACTATAGCAACTATTATAAATGCCTTGTCACTTACCTCTACACTCTTTGGAAAGGTGAAAGTTATTTTGCATATGAGTGCTTAAAATCACCTCTATTATGGAAAATACTTTCATCTCCTTCCAGAATTCTTCTTAAAGGAGTTTTGCTATTTTCTTCTGCTATTGTGATAGATGTAGAATACAGTATTAATAGGTTTCTCTAAATCATGGATTTTCACATTTCCTGAGAATGACAAGGCTATTATGACTACCATAATAGAAAAATTTCCCATAAACATAATTAAAAATAAAAGACTAGGCATGGCAGACCTCTCCTGACCTATCTGCTGCTCCCCTCAGCAGTGTACTTTGTTTATTTGCCTATTCTGCTCTCCATTCTCTTTCTGGTGAATCCTCTCACTGCCCCTGCACCTCTGGCCTGTAACCTAGTGCATAAATAAATAAATCTTAAAAAAAAAAGATTTGCTGCTTAAAGATACTCTCAATTATCTGAAAAATAGATCCTAAAGAACTGAGTGCTCATTCAACAACTCTTTAGATAAACATGTCTTAAATGCCTCAAAGTGCTGCAAAGTATTGCAAGCATCAAGAAGATTAAGAAATGGTTGCTGTTTTCAAGGAGTTCAGTTACAAATTGCTGGCCTTATAGTTTGTATAAATGATTTACAAGACATTTTCTACATGTGTCTACTCAACCTCAGCGTAATCAGTCAGATTTCACATTTTCTAGAGTTGAGATTTCTTGTTGCTCAATGTTAATTTAGCAACCAAAATGTTCATTTTGATGATGGTAATGTAGTATTTCTCCACTGTTCCTGCTTTACCTTTATGTGCTTAAGTGACAAAGAACTTACAAAATGTCTCATTGGAAAGAATTGTCTTTTCATCTTTCACTTTCTAGTCCTTGTTCCTTTTTTGGCTCCAAAGACTTTTCTAATTCCCTGTGAATGCTTTTTAAGATAACAGTGACCTATACTACATACCAGGTGGTGGCACATTATTCATAGATTCCTTTCCTACCAAAGCCTTTAGGCCGAAATCTCAGAAGTTCATTCCTACTTCACAGTTGCTCTCTATTTTTTTTCTTTATTTCATTCCTGGTCCTTCCTCTGAAATCATTTGCTATCTTGGACTATCTTTTCCTTCAAAAAATTGAAACAAATTAGAAACTGGGGGTTACCCCACCCAATACTCCCACTTAATGCAGAAGCAAAGGAAGTCCACAGCCTCAGATATTAATGCCATAGCCATAGTGAGGTGGGAGAGCCTGTCTTGAACCTGAGAGGCCGTAATCTGTCACCAGATGGCCTTTAAAGATGTCATGCTGTCTTCAAGAGCTACCTGTCAAATAAAAGATTCTTCCCAGGATAACACTTACTTTTCTTCTACTTCCAGTATACAAATATTTGGTTACTGTTGCAACAGCTTTAAAATACTTTACAGAATATATTGCTATGTTTTTAGTTTTCCCCCAAAGTTTACCTGTTCACCTAGGAAGTATGCGGCTATAGAATCAGTTATCGAGCATCCACAACTTCCCAGGTATAATGTAGGCATCAGAAATAGGTAACAGTGTTGGCCTGGCTTTAATTAGAAACATCTTCAGATTTGTAAGTGCCATTCAGCTTTGGATTGCTAGTAACATATGGTTTTAGTGTAATTGGTCCTATAAGTGTTAGAAAATTAGTAACAAGAGTAGAGTTTTAGTACTGTGTAGAATACAGACATAAAAACCCTTCCCCATGCATTTAGGCTTTCTCACATGCAGCGGGCCCAAGCACCTTTATTTGGTATTTGGGTGCTGACAGTGTGATTTTCAGTCTCCCAATTAGGCTGCTAACGAACTTAGATTCGGGTAGGTGATCTCTTTCTACTGCTTTTTTCCACCTCCCGGGAGGCCCGGGGTAAGATGAGGTTCCTGCTTCCCGGGGTCTCCGCACCTTTCTGGGGCGCTGGCAGAAGCACCGCGCCGGCCCTCGGAACCGCTCCCAGGCGCGGGCAGTGTTGGGAGTCGCGGCAGCCAGCCCCGGCCGGGGGAGTCACCAGACGCCGGCTGGCCGCTCTTCCGCTCTCCCGGGAGGGCCGGGGCGGGGCGGACGCGCCCGGCTCTTCCTGCCGCGCTAGGACCACCCCACGGTGGGGACTCCGCTGGGGCCATGGCGGCGGCTCTTTGGGGTCGGTGCTTCCCTCGAGCCTGGCTCTGCAGGTGCTAAATCCTAAGTTCGGTGCGGCCCTGACTTTGGCTGAGCTCCAAAAGGCAGCCCCAGGCTCGGCCTCGTGACCCACTCTCTTTCCATGTTGCAGGAAAGCCGGGCCTGGCTGTAGTCGGCACTATCGCGCCGCGCTCTGCACCCGGTTGAAGCAACCCCTGGCCATTGAGGAGGTCGCCCCCAGCCCTGTCCGGCCTCACGAGGTAGGGGGGCTGGCCTATCAGGGGGAAATCCTAACACCCGCCTTTTCCCGGTCGCCACACACCTCGCAGGCTTCCGCTCGGAATTGAGTTCCCGAGTGCTCAGCTAGGCGGCGACAGGAGGCTGGAGCACAGCTTCGCCCGGGGTCACAAAGGCCCCTTCAGGCTTCACCAAAAGGCCAAAAGTGCTAAAGAAAGTGTTCCCCCAGACACTAAAATGTAGGCCTCTAGCTGAAGGCCCTGGAGCCGTTGCCTTAGAAACAGATTTCTGATTTGCACACGATTTTGCATGAACCAATTGCAAGGTATTGATTTAATGCAGATAAATGGACCCCATTCTTTACTTCCTCTTGGTGTCAGCATCTAATTATCCGCCCTCTCTCCTCCCCCAAGCCCGTCTGGTAATGCCTGTATTTCCATATGAATATGTCTTGTACTCTTTTCTGGTGTGTTGCAGTGATTTGGGTGGGATTGGATTGGAGTTGTGGGCACTTCACCGAAATGCGGAGGTCCCTTTGTCCACCCTGGTAGTCCACACAATGCCCTCTGGTGTGGAGGCGGAGACCTGGACTCCGGGAAGCATTCAGTAAATCTTAGGCCTGGGGACTTCCGTTAGAGGGAGAATGGCGAATTTGGGTGAGCACGTTCAGCTAGTCTGCGGTCTGGGATTCAGGGCTGATGTTCATAGTTGCATCAAGGAGAATGATTTGGCATATATGTACTTTACATTCAGCAGCTTATGTGTCATGCACACAATATGTGGGCTCCTTTGTTAGGTTATTTGCCCAGACACTGCCTTGCTAGTTCATGAGATCTGGGACTAGGTGAAATTACCCACTGTTAAATCCCTGCAGTCTGAAATTATGCCTGGCATGTGACAGATGCTTAAAAGACTGTTGGATGTGTGCATTTTGTCCATACTAAATTGATAGTTTAAATAAAACACATGAATAAATGTCATGGATGCTTTCTCTCCATTTCTTCCTATGTTCTAAGCCTGTTGAGATGGGTTGGTCTAAGAGTTCTCTACTGTCAACTTTTATCAGAATCACCCACAGTTTATTAAAACAGAGTGCTGGGCTTTGTCGCAGAGTATTTTTTTTTAAAGATTTATTTATGCATACAGAACTGGGGTACAAGCCAGATGTGCAGGGGTGGTGAGAGGATTCACCAGAGTCAGAGTGGGGAGCAGAACAGGCCGACTGACGAAGTACACTGGTGAGGGGAGCAGCGGGAGGGTCAGGAGAGGTCTGCCGTGCCATGTGGTCACCTCTGGGAGGGGGATCGAACTCATGCTGAAGTGGCTTTAGCTTCTCAGTGCTGTGCTTTAACCTGCTGTGCCACCACGGAGGGCCTTGTTCCCGGAGTTTTTAATTCTGTAGGCAGGGCTTGAGAATTTGAATTCTTAACAAGTTCCCAGGTGACACTGAAGTTGATGGTCTGGGGACCATACTTTAAGAATCACTTGACTTACAAGGTCTAAGAGAAAATGCTGACTACCCTGTTACAGGCCTCCCTCACTTCTGACACTGGAATAACACACTAATGTTAGGGATCTCAGACTAGTTGTTAGGATTCCTGATTCCCAAATCAGTTGATCTTTGTGACCTCTCTGCTTAAAATCTTATAGTAGGCTCTCCCTGGTGGCGCAACAGGTTAGGACGCAGCACTGCAAACTAGCTGCAGCCTCTTCAGTGCAAGTTCAATCCCTGTCCTGTAGCTGACCCACATGGTGCGGCAGACCTCTCCTGACCCTCCCGCTATTCCCCTCAGCAGTGTACTTTGTCAATCTGCCTGTTCTGCTCCCCACTCTGTCTCTGGTGAAACCTCTCACCACCCCCTGCACCTCTGGCCTGTACCCCAGTTCTATATGCATAAATAAAATAAATCTTAAAAAAAAAATCTTTTGGTGACTGCCCGTTGTTCCTACAGTAAAGACCAAAATCTTCAATAAAACCTTGGATGCTGTGGTCAGTGCTCTCTAACACCGCCTCTTTCTCCTCTCTGTGCTTTAGGCACACTGATTTTTCTTTTGTCCCTACCACACGCCCTTTGCACTTGGCATTTCCTGTGTCTCGGCATTGCTTTTATGCCAGGCTTTCTTCCTCCCCTTCTAACTTGATAATTTAACCCATAACTGTTTGTTGTTCAAATGTGATTTTCTCAGGGATTTTTCTTTACTTTCCTAAATGGTCAAATGCCTACTTTATGTTTTATCACACCACATCGTCAACATTTTTTTTTTATAGGAGCTATAGTTTAATGCATAAATCTCATAATTATTGTTTAATATCTATCTTAGTTCCATGAGCCAATAACCTTGCCCAGTTTATCTCTTGATGGTTCAAGTCTCTTAGTTCAGTGTCTGGTATATAGTAGGTATTCAATAAATATTTTGGTATAATTGACTGAACTTTTCCTCCATGGAGTGTGCACCTTTGCTTTGTTGCTTTTTTTCCTTTGCAGGTCAGAGTTGGTGTTCATTTCTGTGGAGTTAACTTTGCTGATATTTTGGTGTGCCGTGGTCAGTATCAGGAAAAGCCCCATCTTCCCTTTGTACCTGGTGAGTATAAAGGGACTAAGTTAACTGTGTCAGAAAACGATGATACAGAGGATTTTCTGAACCAAGCATTTCCGCTCAGACCCTACCCTGGCATGTTGCTTGCCATCAGCGGTGTCTCAGATATGTTCAACTCACTAATAATTAGAATTGCCAGATTGTGAACCCTGTAAGGGAGAGTTTTGACTCTTCCTATAATGGTCTTAGCACTGTACCTGGCTCATAGTAGGTGCTCAATAAACACTTAAAAGATGGATGAACGAACAAATGAATTTTTTCTCTTCTTCAGAATTGTCGTTGGCCCTAGTCATGCCCTTCTGTCCTTGATAGTGCCTGGATTTTCTTTTCTTTTTTGTTTGTGTAAAGTTAACCATTTTATTTTTTTAAGGATTTATTTATTTATGCATAGAAGAGCTGCGGTGCAGGCCAGAGGTATGGGGGCATGAGAGGATTCACCAGGGACAGAGTGGGGAGCCGAACAGGCCGATCTACTGAAATAAACTGCTGAGGGGAGCAGAGAACAAGATAGGAGAGGTCTGCTGTGCCATGTGGGTCACCCTCCTGGCTGGGTATCAAATTCTTGCTGCAGTGGCTGTGGATAGTTTCACAGTGCTGCAATTTAACCCCTTCAGCCACCAGGGAGGCCCAGTTTTGTGTTTTCACCAAAGGATCATAAACATCTGTTTGCAGCTAGAATTCTCAGTTCTCACAAATGCCTTTCCAAAGAAAGTTAATATCAAAGGATCAGAAAGAAGAAAAAGAGTTTATAATTTTCTTAGCAGCCCACTATCTGATTTACATTATGGTCAGTCTGATTATGTTTAGATCCTGGGTATGTGGGCAAGTGAGTGGTTATTGTTTTTGAAATTTATTTAAAGGAATGTAAGTATAGCTTAGTGTACATACATTACATGCATATTTTATACAGATAGATACTATTAAGGGTACAGTGATTGCAAAACAGTTGTTGTGTTTTGCCCTGTGGGTATTTGGTTATATCTCAGCAGTTGGAACCATTTCACTTGGTTTATATTTGCTGAAATGCTGAGTAGAGGGGAAGATATAATACTCAATTGAGCTATTGCTCTGGCAGCTTTAGTCAGAAGTGTGTAATCATTAAACTCAGAGATGTTGGGTGGTAGAAAAAGAAAGGACAGGCAGTAGCAATTCTTCCATTGAGTCAAGTACTGTAAATAGAGTTCATTCTTTGAGGGCCTTATGGTCCCAAAGAGGAGACATGAGAACAGATAACTACAATATGATGACCGCTGTGATTGGAGGGCTGTAGGAACCCAAAGACTCAGGATTCAGGGTCAAAGACCTTTGTCCCTGTGATTCCTTGCCTTTTTGCCCATTCTTGAAAATTTCATTTGTGCCTCAGTAAAAGTAGGACTGTGACAGCATTTCAGCTTGTGATACTGAACTCCTAAGTCCCCTTTCTTATACATTGGGTATAATGTCCATTTTCTTTTTTCTTGACCTGGGGAAACAGACCCTCTGAACTCCAGTAGGTTGGTAAGATGCTGATGGTCAGAGTGCCCCCATTTCCGTGGTGCTGGCCTTTGCAGATAACCTAATCTTTAAACAATTTGTTTTAGGAATGGAGTTTTCTGGGACAGTATTGGAGGCAGGCACAGATGTCAGCACAGTGAAAGAGGTAAAGTAGTTGAAATCAATAGAACTGTGGTGGGTGCGTGGCTATGAGAATTATACTAAACTCCTCTGTAGCCAAAATGTCTGGCTCCTCCTGGCCAAAGAGAAGTGAGATGGAGGAGGAAGAAACCCATTCTGAATAGGGAAGAAAGCAAGTGGAAGTTCCTGATTTCATTAAAATTTTTATGACTAATAAAAGGCAGCACCTCAGTCTTTGGTTACTGAGAAAATAGAGAAGTCTCAAGTATCAGACATGTGAAAGAAATTAACTCTGGGATTCTAAATCACATCAGCCATTTCCTTTCTCTATCCTATTACTATCCAAAATGTTCTCAGATTAGCTTGGCACAGGGTGGGGGGGGGTGTCAGGATATTGAAAAAAATGACTGAATTACTTACTAAACATTAACTCTGAATAGATAACTAAGGCAAACCTTTGTCTTAAGGACTCAGAATGACAGACTTTCTTTTTTATTATTTGGGAAGAGGTCAGTGACAAGGACCTTCAACAGTCCTTGCATTTGAACCTTTGAAGATACCCTTAATACTATTTTCCATTCAGGGAGATCGCGTTATTGGTGTGAGTGGCTTTAATGGCATGGCTGAAGAATGCATCACCGACCAGAAGGTAGCGCCACCACTTAATATTAATGCTTGGAGGTTTCCCCCTTTCTTTTCTTTAATTCCCACCTATTCCTCATCATGCTCTTTCTTGCCCCTTTCTTTGTATAAGTTTGACTGTATCTGGTTTCTCAGCCAAGAACTTCTTTCAAATATTAACTCCTTTTTCTATATCATTAGGGAAACCCTTGCACAGAAATTTCTGTGGAATGGTTTAATGAAGAGGGACATTTTGTTTTCTGAGCCCTGGAGCATCTGGTTGGACCGTAGTTGGGTATGGTGGGCTCTGAGCTGGATGTAATGGGTTCTCCTCAACACAGAGCTTGAAAAAGACTTGTCAGTTCTGGGAATGGAGCCAGTTTGGGTGACCTGCCATGAGTGATGCCGCCTAGCGGTAAACATTGTATATTTATTTTCTCAGGTTTATTGAGATAAAATTGGCACACCTTACAGTTCATCTATTTTAATGCCCATTATCTGTGTTCAGTTCTCCATCAATTGATTCTTTCCAGAGCCAGATTCCAGCTTCAGGATTTTTGAAGTATAATGCACCTGCATCTTAAATTTAGCCACAGTTTATTTAGTCTTGATTCCTTCTGGACTGGTTCCTGATGTTTTTCTCTTTGCAAAATCATTCACTCAGTCAAATACTTATATTTACTAAGCAGCCTTATGACCAGGTACATGTACTTAATCCCTAAATCACTGTTATCTTTTTTTGTAGATGCTATGGCAGATTCCAGATAGTGTTTCCCTTCGAGAAGCTGCTGCCCTGCCTGTGTCTTACTGTACTGCTATTTTGGCCCTGGAACATCGGGCCTGTACCCAGCCTGGGTAAGGACAGTGTGGACAACAATGGGCTAGATGAATCCCATTTTTGGTATCAGAAGTCCCCACCAAGGTCTTGCACCTTCTCTGCCCTGACTTTTACTGCGTGTTCAGTCTACCTGAGAGGAAAGACCAGGGAAGTTGTCAACCCAATACTGGGGTCTGGTGATGTGGCGGGTATTTTGTAGAGAGGGAGCAGGAAGCTGTGCACTTGACCAATTGAATTTGGAAAACACTGTCTCTCAATCTGGCCACACTGAAGATGGCCTCCTAGAGAACACTGAAGTTTAGAGAGTTGGTTTATTTACCCTCACTTCACTCTGGGCTTAGCGGAGACCTGTGATACCTGTTTCTGTAAGACCTGGTTGAATGTGCCTAACTGATATATTTCCCTTGCAGAGGGGCTGAAGTCTCTGTGTCACTTGCATTCCCACTGCTCCTCACTCCTTATGGCTGTGCTTCGGGATTGCTCCAGAGTGTGGGTTTTAGTTGCAATGTGGCTATTAATGTAATCGCTACTTTCTAAAATTTGGCAGTGGTTAGTATGCAAATGATTTGGAGACAGAATTTCAGCAGCAGAAATTGGTGTGGTAGCCCAAAGGGAGGGTCGCCACTGGAATGAGGAAGAGGCTACCTAATTAAGAAATCTATTTCCAGGGAGTCCTCAAAATTGCTCCAAATCCACTCTGATCTAATAGTGACAGTCCTAACAGTTACAGAGCAGGCTGTATATGAAGTGATAGATAAGATGACCTTCATGTTCTCTTCATGCTTTAAATTGTCCTAGTTCTAGTGTGATTCATGAAGTCATGAAATTACTGGTTGAGTTTTGAAGGTTTCTGAAGTGACACTTACCTTTCTCTGGTACAGAGAAACTGTTTTAGTGACAGCAGCAGCTGGAGCCACGGGCCTTGCTGTGATAGATGTGGCAACAAACGTTCTTCAGGCTAAGGTATTTGCATTTTGGATTCTCCATGAAAAGAAACAACCTATACCTTCATTTTCAAACATGAACCTGCTCATTCATTTATTTAAAATCTTGTACATGGTGGTGGGGGAGGGGACATATAAGGTAACCTAGACTAGGACCTTAACATTAATTTGCTTATATTTAGCAAGGTCCCTAGAAGTAAATCTGGTGCTAAAACCTGGTGAGGTATGACTAGCATTACAATCTCTGCAGATTTTATTCACTCTACCTGTAATGCTCTTAGTTGTTTCCTCCTGAACTTAAATTTAAGCTCAGATGACTCTTTTTAAGTATTCACTGTCACACAGGCAATGTTTATCTCCTCCCTCCTCCCATTTATATATGGCCTCATAGCACTCTCTACTTCTCTGTCATATGAGACACCTCAATGTGTGGGTATTTGTTTACTTGTGTCATTTTTGGATTAATGACTCCCTTCTGCTAGACTGATCTCCATAAGGCAAGGACAGTGTCTGTTTGGCTCAAGCTAGTTTCAGGGCCTAGTTTGGTGGCTATATCATAGTGGGCAGGCAATAACTTTAATGAATGAATGAATGTGCCCAGGTTCAGGGGAAGATGCCCCACCCCCTGGGTTGTTCTCTACTGGCTGAATCATCAAAATAGCATTAAATGTGTTGGCAGAGGAAACAGATCAATTTAACAATGTGCGCAAGTGGAAGTATAATGATTATTCAGGTCCTGATTTCAGCTGGCAAGAATAGGGTTTAAAACTTTAAACCATGGGATGAGAGGAGAGGGCCTGGGACAATGAAGAGGAGTGAGAAAGAAGCTTCACATGACAAGGATGCGATGACTTTATCTTAACTCTGAAAGATAGAGGGGGCATGTCTGCAGATAAACCTTTACCTGGATGATGTCTCCCAACTGTTTTCTCCTATGTAATTAAAGGGAACAGTGATTACTTCTTCTTTAGGGAGAAGACAGAGGGGTTAGAGACAAGGCCTGCCATCTCCCTAGCCTCTAGGTTCTTTATTGCTCTCACATCAAAATAATCTGCATATCAGAGAAGGGCTTTTTCAGGAGACCAATTGTGAGAATCTTGAGCTGGTCTATTTTGAGCACTTTGAAATAAAAGAAACCCACATCTCTATGGGGCCTCTCTTCAAGACTGTGCATGTCAGGGATGGAGGAACTGGAGCAGTTACACTTTTTTGAAACTCACTTTTGAGTGAGGACTGAGTGTAACTGAGTAGAGTGAGGAGGGAAGTGAAGGCCTTTTTAGTGATCAGAAGACATATCAGGAGACACAGAAATAGGAACATGATGCATTCAGGAAATGGCAAATACCATCTGCAGAGCAAAGAAATTGTATGGTGAGTGGTGGAAGATGCCAGGCATGAGCAGGACAGACTCAAGCATTTGAAGTTTTATTAGAAGCTATTGAAGATTTTGAATCAGAAATTTACGTGATCATTTTGCATTTTGCAGGGTTCATTCTGGTAGTAGTGGAGGGGGGAGGGGGCAAGTTCATGGCTGGCTTGGGCAGTTGCTAGGAGCAATTCAAGACAGCAATGAGGGTACTTTAACTGAGGTCATGAAGGGAATGAATTGAGAAATACTAAAGTAGAGGAACGTAGAGAATTTGGTGACTGGAAAAGCACCCAAGTAGCACATAGATTCAGATACCAGCTCTCCTCTAGCTTAATATCTTTAGTTCCCTCCTTTGCAAAATAATGCTTTCCTCTTAGGGTGGTTGTGACAATATTGAGATTACATGTGCAATGAATGTGCCCGTTAGAAGGCATGGCATGTTGGTAAAAATCTCTTAAAAAGGGATCCTGTTATTAATAGAGATTGAGTGGGAAGGAGCAAACTAGGTTAACTTGCAGACCTGCCATTTATTGAGATTGGAATGCATGGGGAAATGGTGAGCTGAAGTTTTGGATTGTGGAGTGTGAGGTTCCCATGGTGCCTGCAATTGCAGTATCCAGAAAGCACCAAGACAGACAAGTTTGGAGATAATTGCATCAATCTGGAATTTCTTCTGGTGATAGCTTTCTTTTATTTCACTAAGTCCCTTTTGGGAAAAACTTGTGAGTTCTGAAACAATCCTAAATAGACAAGGTCTCCTCATGGAATATTAACACATTTTCATGTTTAAAGGAGGGTTTTTAGCACCTCTCTTAGTGGGGGATACCAAAATTAATCTCATTGCTTAGAACCTTAGACTAACATTTCTCAGAAAGTTATACCACTTGCTGCAAATAGTTAAAGAAGGTTAAATAGATAGAACAGTTCTCTGCAATTCAGATATTAAAATTATTCAAAGATGTATTTTCCTTAATTGCAAGAAAGGTTTTCAGCAAAAGCAAACCAAAAAAAGAATAAAAATGATGTTATCTCTCCACCTCGTCGGAACAGGCCATTTGATACACTTTCTATTCACAACATTTCATATTGCTGTCAAAGTGTGTCCCTAGAAATTTTCTTACCCACCATCCTCACAGACCCTTGGGAGACAGGTAATGTAGGTGTTTATTATCCCTATTTCACAGGTAAAGAAAGTGAGTTACCAAGAGAGAAAAGGAATCACAGTAGGTCTCATTTGGACCCAGGGAGAATCCTGGGGTGCCTGACCCTAGCCTGTGTCTGCGTCCATGGGGTGCTAGTAGCTTGCACTGAACCACAGTTATTTGAGGGTTTGAAGATAACTTTCAGTTTCAGGTAGTTATACATGAATTTGGAATTTTTTAAGGGCTCTGATGTTCTCTGGATGTGTGAATGTGAGTCCTGAGTGTCACCTTGAGGCCAAAGTGCTTGAGCTGGTGGGTGCTAGTAGGCCATTCAAAACAATGCTGAAGCATTTGAAACTTTTCTAGGGACTCCTGAACCACAGACTTCTGTACACTGTGACCAAAGCGATCTGTGCCTTTTTTGCCAGGCCCTTGTGTGTTAGAGTAGAAATGAATGGGCTTTGAAGTCAGGTGATGTTGAAATAAATGTTCTACCACCTACTGCCTAGATGATTCTGGATTAACTACTTAACCTCTCCGAATTTAAGTACAAGGGGAGAAATTGTACTTCCCCTTTAGTGTTCTTATGAGATTTAAATAGAACAAAGGATTGCATATATATAACAATAGTTTCAATGTATCTTATACTTTGTTTTCCAAGTGATTTACATACAGCATCCCATTTAAATTTTTAAAATAAATCTTATTTAAAGATAACTGAAACTTTGAGTTGACAGAGAACAGATCACCCAAGTTTGGATTCTAGTTCTGACTCCCCAAACTTAGGCAATCTTTGTCTTAGTTTGTCCACCTCTAAGATGAGGATAAAATAGTGCGTAAGTTATTGGGTTATTTAGTTTAAATGAGTTAATATATGTAAAGCAGTTAGACTCGTGCCTAGCACATAGTATGCATGATGCAAGTGTACGTTCTTACTAAGTAATTCACCTAAAGTAAAACAGCTAGAGACTGGAAGAGTCAGGATTTGAACTCAGTCTGCCTGGTTTCAAGATTTTTTCCACTGAGTTACTCTTTGGGATATGTTTCCTAATCACCTGGATTTGGTGGGCACTTCCTATTTGTACTTTTGGAATCTTCTATGCTCACCCCATCACATTAATCTAATTTGCCTTTTTGTCTCTAAGCATTGTGTTTAGCTTACATTCGTACTACTTGCCTCAAGTATTATTTATTTATTTATATGGCAAGTATTTATTTATTTATTTATTTATTTATTTATTTTTTTATTACAAAAGTTTATTTTTACATCATTTTGTACATTTTTTTTTCCATCTCAATTGTAATCCCTGCGGGTTTCCCAGCACCAAGTCACCCGTGTGCCATCACCATAATCCCGTGCATTTCCCTCCCCACCCCCCCGTTTTTGATCCCATTCCCCACTCCACCCCCACAAAATGTCTCCAGTATATGGTTGTTCATTATTTTTGTTATTTTCTCGCCTGGTCCATTATACTCCTGCTATGAGTGAAACATCCGGTATTTTTCTTTCTCTTTCTGGCTTATCTCACTAAGCATGATCTTTTCCAGCTCCATCCAAGTTGCTGCAGAAGACATGTGTTTCTCTTTTTTGGTTGCTGAGTAATATTCCATTGTATATATGTACCACATCTTTTTTATCTAGTCATCTACTTTTGGGCATTTGGGCTGCTTCCATGTTTTTCCAATTGTAAATAAAGCAGCAATAAATATGGGGGTACAGGTATCTTTTTGAATCAGTGTTTTTGTGTCTTTTGGGTAGATACCTAGGAGTGGGATTGCTGGGTCGTAGGGAAGCTCCATGTTTAGCAGTTTGAGGAACCTCCAAACAGTTTTCCATAGTGGTTGTACTAGTTTGCATTCCCACCAGCAGTGCAAGAGAGTTCCTTTTTCTCCACATCCTCGCCAACATTTGTTGTTGCTAGTTGTTTGAAGATGTGCCATTCTCAGTGGGGTGAGGTGGTATCTCATTGTGGTTTTAATTTGCATCTCCCTTATTACGAGTGATGTTGAACATTTTTTCATATGCCTGTTGGCCATCTGCATTTCCCCTTTGGAGAAGTGTCTTTTTAGCTCTACTGCCCGATAAATGGCAATTTTAACTTGCATTTGAAGATTGTTGAGTGTCCCCTGAACCATCTCTGAGCTAGACCCATTGAAGCTCCAGGATTCTTGGAAATGTAGCTCCCCTGGCCAGTGGGGCAGGGGAGGGTAGGGGAGGAGCTATGTGTTGGGTCTGAAGTGTGGATTTGAGGCTGATACCAGGACAGCAGGGTCACATTGGTCTCCTTGCTTAGTACCTTTTGGGTGGAGTCTGGGTAGTTAGGTGAGTGCTCTGGGTACACATTCTAGACCTTGGTCATCAGAAGCTTTCTGTTCTTTATGCAGGTAATAGCTGCAGCCGGAAGTGATGAGAAGTGCCAGCTGGCAATGCGAAGAGGTGCACAGGCCACTCTGAACTATGGGCAGGGCAGCCTGAAGGAGGCTGTGAGGAAGCTGGTGGGCAGTGGCGGGGTGAATGTGGCCATTGACACTGTGGGAGGAGATGTCTTCCTGGAGGCTCTTCGCAGGTGCGTGAGGTGTTCTTTGGGGGGTGGGTGAGCTAGACTCCCAAAAGGTGCTGAGACCTTCCCAGACCCTGACTGCCTTCTGGCTTTGCTTCTCTTTCTTCTTTGCTGCTCACTTTTCCTGTAGGCATCGGCATCAACCAGACAGCTGAGTGGGTGGGTGAAAAAGGAATAGAAGCAGAGGGAAAATCAGGAAATGCTTAAATATAGCAAAAACAAAATACCCACTGGAAGATAGCCAAAAAATGACTGCAGACTCTCTGGTTGGCAATGTCAGATGCTTTAAAAATTGTACATGTGTTAAATTCAGCAATGCCAGCTCCCACTAACTACTTTATATACATGGTGCGGAGAATTCTACCACTGTTCAGATGGTAGAATTACTGGGGTGCCTGACCCGCAGTCCACTGGGTAGCTAGGTGCAGATATTTTTGAAGCAGCCAGCACTATATACATCGCCTCAATTTATTTTATTAAAAATACATCACTGGATATATAGTAGGATTGCTATTGCCACACCAATTCTCATTCTGTTTTCAACCAACAGCTCTGGTTGAAATAATAATCTTGATAATGCTATCTATCAGGACAATAATATCTCATAATAGTGGTATTGTTTCTCATATCATCCTGCTAGCACTTTAGTTTTTTCAGTTTGTCTCACTTTAAATGGAAGAAACAGAATCAGAAAGTAGGTTCCCAGCGGTGCTTCTGTTATTCTGGAGAGCTGCTGCCCTGTGCCCAGTATCGTGCTTACGCGGAAAGGGAGGCCCTCCCTGGTGGAGCAGCGGGTCAAAGCGCAGCACTGAGAAGCTAAAGCTGCTTCTGCATGAGTTCGATTCTCGCCTGCCCCGGAGGTGACCACATGGCGTGGCAGACCTCTCCTGACCCGTCCGCTGCTCCTCTGCGGTGTGGTTTTCGTCGATCTGCCTGTTCTGCTCCCCACTCTGTCTCTGGTGAATCCTCTCGCCGCCCCTGAGCCTCTGGCCTGTACCCCAGTTCTGTAAGCACAAATAAATAAATCTTTAAAAAAAAAAAAAAAAGAGGAAAGGGAATGCAGAGGAAGGGGATCCAGCACCGAGGGCGGCTAATACCTTCTTTTGCCTTCTTGTTCACTGTGTTTTGACAACAGCCTCTCATTTCCCATCTAAAGAAGAAAAGCAAAAAAGCAAACAAGGATAAACATTTTATATCAAAGATGCTTACAGAATTTATTTTTATAATGCATTGCTTAGCATGCACTGTATGGTGCATCATAATGGGTGCAGAAAACTTGTACATGTTTGTAGATTCCTCAGAACTCTCTAGACAAGTACATAACTTACAGGAGTTCTAAAGCCAGTCTTTATATAAAGCAAATGATACTTCCCTCAAGTGTCTAGTTTCTTGTTCCTTCTTCCTCACTTTGAAATCTTCCAATTGAGTTGTTTCAGAGAACAGCATAGGGAATGGCATTTGTTTATAGCTTTCTCAAAGTGGTTGAGGTGGCTAACTAGACAGCCTAGATTCTAAAGTGAGTCTCCTTATAAAACTTTTTAGTTTCTCTGGCTCTCTACTATCTTCCTTTTGGCTTATTTTTGGAATTTTCCTATCAGTGAACTCATAATGGCTCATAATGGGTCATTTCTGCCAGTTTGTAAGATCAAGAAGAGTTCTTAGCTCTGGGCTTAACCCATGTTGTTTTGTTTTCTAAAATATATATCTATATATATATACTAAATATATATATATATAAATATATATATATATAGATATATAAATATATAAATATAAATATATAGAGATATATACATATATAGTAAATTATATGTAAATTAATATTTACCATTTTGAATATTTATAAATGTATCATCCAGTGGTATTAACTGTACTAACAATATTGTCTAATCATACCCAACAAGAGCTCTACACACATGAAGAAGAGACTTTCTTTTTCTCCCCTACTTTCAGTAAATTGTGTTCTACTTTCTGTCTCCATGAATTAAAACATCTGCTTTATTTTACCTCTCTACATTTTTTATTATTGTAAAAATATGTATAATGTAAGATTTACTATAATATGTCCAGTTCAGTAAAGTATGTCCATATTGTAAAACAGATCACTACTTTTTAATCTTGCAAATCTGACATTCTATATCCATTGACTAATTTCCCAGCTCCTGTAGCCACCATTATCCTTTCTATCTATGTGAATTTGATACATCTTTCTTTTTGTGACTGACTGACTGACTGACTTCACTGAATATAATCTCCTCAAGGTTCATTGGTATTGTAGCATATAATGGGATGCCTTCCTTTTCTAGGCTAAATAATATTCTACTATAAACCACATTTTGTTTATTCATTTATCAGTTGATAGACATCTGGTTGATTTCTACTTCTTGGCTGTTGTAAATAGCACTGTTGTGAACATGGGTGTGAAAACATGTTTTCAGACTCTATCAGTTCTTTTGGATATATACCTAGAAGTGTGGTTGCTGGATTGTATGGTAGATCTATTTTGAATTTTTGGGGGTGCTTCCATACATTTTCCATAGTGCATCATTTTCCATTCCCACCAACAATGGGTGAAGGTTCCAGTTTCTCTCTATCCTTGCTAACACTTGTTATTTCCTTCATTTTCCCTTAGTAGTCCTAGTGGGTATGAATGTACCTTGCTTTTTACAATGTCTTCCCTTTCTCTTCTTTCCTTCCAGCTTGGCATGGGAAGGCCGGATTGTGGTAGTGGGATTTGCTGGCGGAACCATTGCATCTCTGCCAGCCAACCTTCTCCTCCTGAAGAATATCTCTGCCATGGGACTGTACTGGGGCCGATACCAACGTGAGAACTTCCCTGTCTTCTCCAGGAGTCTGTCATCAGCCCTTCAGTATTGTCAACAAGGGCTCATCCAGCCATATATTGGAGCAGTTTTTAAGCTGGAGGAGGTAAGATGCTTTTAAGAGATGTGGTAAGGATAAGTCCAGGAAGTAAACTGCATCAAGCCACTAGACAGTTTTGCTGGCTGCTATAGATCCTCTTTGTCTGGAATGAAAATGTGAAAATGCAGTGCAGGCGAGTGGGGTCTCACAGGCTGCAGTGTGCCAGGATTTCTCAGTCTTTGTGTTTCGTGACTGTGGACTCAAGCTTAAAGAGCCACCCTGGAAGCAGCATCTGCTGAGGCGTGGACGAGCTGAACTTTGAGGGCTCTGCCTATATAGCTGGTGTCTGAAACAGTGGTAAGTCACAGTGCTCTAGAGCATAATTTACATGTGCTCATATGAACTCTGAACTCCACAACATAGGCGCTCAAGAAGGAAGCACTTAACTTGACCTTTGATTTTAGAATATAGGTGCTTTAAAGTACAACCAGATGATCTAGGCTGGGTTTCTGTGATCCACACACTAAATCATGCCTGGCATCATAAGACTAGAAGTCATCCATTAGTCACTGTAGTTAATTTTGTTGGCTAGTCACTCCTTTTTTTTTAGTCCCACAAAGGCCCCCTAATGTGGCTTAAACTTCCTCTAAAGTGTAATTGTGTGCATGTATATGGGAAATAGTTGTAAATGCAAATCTGTTAAGCATGAATTGTGAAGTCTTTTTCTTTCTTTCTTTTTTTTTTTGGGCTTCATTTATTTTAATGTTCAAAAACTGTTTTGGTAAATGTAGTCAGCCATTGAAGAAGATGTTTTGTTCAAATGCAGATTAGTGGAGTCCAAGCTGTCAGTGCCAGACTGCATTGCTCACCAGCCTTCCATTTCTATGTTCTTTCCCTTCTGAGGAGGCACATTCTTTTCAAATATGGTTTCCTTTTTTCTTATCTTTTTGGCTTGCACATCAAGAAGGTAACATTGATGGTAAAAGGAGAGCCTGGCTGGCCATTAAAAGCTGGTACAACATTAGTTCTAGATTTTACCCCTTCTTCCCTGGTGCCTCCCCCCCCCAGTTGTAACTTTGTGTAAGTTCTTCACCTTTTTAAAAAAAGATTTATTTATGCATACAGACCTGGGCATAGACTAGAGGAGCAGGGACGGTGAGAAGATTCACCAGAGACAAAGCAGGGAGCAGAACAGGCAGATCGATGAAGTACACTGCTGAGGGGAGCAGCGGGTGGGTCAGGAGAGGTCTGCTGTGCCATGTGAGTCACCATGTGGGTCAGCTCCCTGGCTGGGGATCAAACTTGTGCTGAGGCAGCTGTGGCTAGCTTTGTAGTGCTGCACTTTAACCTGTTGTCCACCAGGGAGGGCCCTCTTCACCTTCTTGACCTTAAGTGTCCAGATCAATAAAACTGAGGGATAGGCCAGCATCAGTGACTTTCAGGTTATGTCTTAGGAGCTACAGTAGATGGGTGGCAGGTGTGACTTGCATGCTGGGGGTGGGCAGCTGTACACTTGAGCTGCCTGGATTCTGAGACCACAGCTCTGCTGTGGCCTGAGTAGCTATGTTTTTTACTTTTTACACCTTTAAGTGAAGATTTGTGGCTTAGGAACTTGAGAACCACCAGTTGCCAGAGTTGCCAGGTCCCTTTCCATCATGTGGATTTTCTCATGTGATTTTACAAACTGAGGTTTGCTTTATTTCATGCTCATGTGTACTGCTGAGATGGGATAAGGTTGAACAGGCAGAACAGGAATAGAAAAGCACTCTTGTTTGACCTGTCTCTGCTCTCCATTGAAGTGTTCTGGGTGTTGCTCAGGCATGAAAGAAAGCCAGAGGTGTTTTAATTACTCACAATGAAGTTCTTTCTTCTCTTAAACACAAATTAACTGTCTAATTGCTATCCGCCTGTCAGCTCCCATTTGCCCTTCTTTCCAGTCAGGACTCTGCCCACAGGACTTATTTAATTCTTCCCACTCTGCTGCTCTTCCTGTTACCACTGGGCTTTCTGAGGCCATGGTCCCTAACAGTTTCAGTCATTCATCCACCATTCATTTACTGTTTCTTCTCTTTCTGTGTCTTTCAATATGCAGACTATTTAGAGGAATGATGATAATAATTATGGTAGTTCCCATACATGAGCTATTTGTTATGAGTCAGGAACTCTGGAAACATTTGATGCCCATTTTCTCATTTAATATTCACAGCAACCCTTTGAGATAGGAACCATTTTTATCACATTTCACAGTTGAAGAAATCAAGACTTGTAGAGGCTACAAAACTGCCCAGTAACATTTAGTAAGGGACAGACTCAGAATCTAATCTAGGCTGGTCTCACTACAGAATCTGGGGGCCTTGTGGCTGTCAAACTCTTTGCAAATAAGCCAGAAAGTTCTTTCTTAGACCCCTTATTCTAGATGAAGTTTATCCATCTACTGGAGAATTTTTCTGTATTAAAAAAAACTATCTTGTTTTTCAAGCTAGAATCTTGAATTTTCCTGAGTGTTTTCTAGCATCTATGATTTGTTCTGTTGAAGTAAATATGATTAAGTGAATATCTAATTCATTTCAGTTAACACTAAAGCCTGGGTGATGTAAATTAATTAAGTATTGGCAAAATATATTTATCAGAATCTTTTTGGAAAGTGACCACTATGTGTGTATGAGAGAGAGAGAGAGAAAGAGTGAAAGGGAAGGTTCCAGAGATATTGTTGCCTTCTAGCTTGTATTTTTTCATTAATATGTGGACCTAAAGATTTGGCCTTTAGCCAAATTGGTACTATGACCACATACTTTATACCCCAGTTTTTCATTTTATTTTACTTAAGAACTTTAAAAAATGTTTTCTAATTGAAGTAATCTTGCATTGTAACATTATGTAAGTTTTGGGTGTGCATCATTATAAATCATGTCTCTACATACTATAATAAGTTCACCCTAAAAGTCCAGTTCTATCCTTCACCATATAATGGACCCTTTTTACCAGATTGACCCACCTCCTTCTGTCCCTTCCCTTCTGACCAACACTTACTTGGCCTAATAACTTAAAAGTTTACTATTGTTATATTTAGCTCATCTATTTGTTTGTGAAACTGTTATAGGACAGGGAGGGGGCACCCCAGGCCCCTCAAACCTGCCATCTGCTGCATCACAACAAAGCATACTCTAGTGCACAAGACCCTTAAGGAAAGGAACTTTAATACAATTAGTATACAACAACAACAAAACATAAAGAAGGTAGGTTCCAAATGAAGCATCCAAAGCTCCCCATCCTCTTGTGGGTAAAATGCTCAACCAAACAGGGTTGGCTCAAAGCAGGGCATCTGAGGCCAGAAAGCTTGTCACAAGTCTAAGGCACATTCTGGTGGGGACCCATAGAAAAGGGTCAGAAACAGCAGAGCAAAATCAAAATCAAAATCGAAGCTACCATCATAACCTCCCCATGGGTCTCACGTATGTCAGTTTCATCCAGGACTAAAAAGCAAGTGCAGTTGGTTGACAACTCTCTGCTCCCTGTGCCTCCTCTTGATCTCTGGCTCTCTATCCTGCTTCTTTCCTTCTCCAGTCTCTTCCCCTTCTTCTCCTCCTCCCTTCCTTGAGTGAGGCAGGGAACCTGGAAACTCCCCTTTTCCTGGGACCACTCTGCTCCAAAGTCACATGGTGTTTGTCTTTCCCCATCTGACTTATTTCAGTGTAATACCCTCTAGTTCCATCCCTGTTGTTAAAATGGTGAGATTTAATCTTCATAGCTGAGTAGTACTGCAGTGCATATATCTGCCACATATTTTTCTAGTCATCTGTCAATAGCACTTAGGTTGTTTTTATATCTTGATGAAGCTTTTTTCCTAATTTGTGCATACACGAACTGGGGTACAGACCAGATTTGCAGGGGGTGACATGATTCACCAGAGGCAGAGTGAGAAAGAACAGATGAATCTACTGAAATACACTGCTGAGGGGGCTGCAGATGAGACAGGAGAGGTCTGGGCACCGTGTGGTCAACTCCCTGGCTGGGATAGAACTCAGGCGGCGTTGGCAGATGATAGCTTGATAGTGCTGAGTTTTTAACCCCTGTTTCATTAGGGAGGCCCCTTGCTGAAGCTTTTTTATTAGATACAAGGTATGGACTTCCATGATATTTTTTATTAACTTGAATGACTTGTTTGATGCCTGTCATTCCTTAGACCATGAACTCCGTGTGGGGAGGGGCCAGTGCTATATGTATCTTTGTGTTCTAGATTCTTGTTAGCATGCACATACCTGTTGAATGACTGACTGAGGGGAGCTCTAAGGTCAGACCCCAGAGATCCTGGCTCCACCACTTCACTGGGCCTGGACAAATTATTTACATCTCAATTCTTTAATTTTCTTGTCTGCATTGGGGTAGTAACAACCCTATTTCCTAGCATGCAGAAGAGTATTACATAAAATGCTTCATGTCAAGGCACACAGTGACCAATTTATTTTAAAAGCAAAATATACAGTGATTGTAAAATACAGAGCTGAAGTTTTCAGATCCCTTGGTCTATAACACTTTTGCATGGACATACAGGGCTGGGTTAGAGACACAATCCTGAGATTTTGAATTTGTTGTTAATTATGTCTGAGCCATGCTGGGTGGATCATGAATTAGCCCCATGGTTTGTTCAGAGGCTGGCACAGAGGCTGGCATTGTTTAGCTGTGCCACGTCTCCTTTTTGTACAGAGTTGCCCAAACCTATCCAGACCTGACACAGTGTTTAGACCTCACAGATCTGAACCTGTTCAGTACATAAAGGTCAGGTGAAATCACTACAAAAACAGATTTCATGGATAGAAGTTGTTTTTAAAACACTTATTTTCAGTATATAGAGGACTGTTGCTCTACTATTTGTTATTTGAAATGCTTAATGAATAAAGAGCAAGTGGACAGAAACATAAAGCAAGTTAGGTTCCACATTATTATTAGTAGTAACAGTTTCTGACCATTATCAATTGCATTAATATTCCCAGTGATTTCTTCTATTATTAGAGAACATCTTCCTATAAGTGCTATATTTCAGATCCTCATTTGACACATTGTATGTT